TATATATATATATATATATATATATATATATATATATATATATATGAATAATGATGAATATAAAAGTTTCTAAAAGTATAGCAGCCCAAGCCAGAGGTCAAAAATAAGTCTAGCATTATAGGCCATGAGATCATAAGGTTTAGATCTCCAGGACTCACCAGGTCTATGGTCTTAGCGGTAACTTTAGAGGCGTCATCACACCACGTCTCACACCACAGCCACTCCTGAGGAAGAGACTTGATGGCCACCTGATGGATCATGTTGTTAGGAAGGTCCTAAAGTAGGAGAAGAGGAAATGATGAAAGGTAATATAGAGATCTACCTGGTTACACCTCATCTATGCCTTTTTATGCATTAAAGGGGGAGTTTATGTACCTGGTCCAGGTTGGACAGACTGTTCGGGTCTTGGCTTAAAGCTTGGTACTGACCCCGCAATCTGTCTCCAGCTGCAATTTTACGGAACTTCTTTAAATCCACCACGTACAGAGCGCTGGATGATAGAAACAACAAAAGAGCTTCACATCTCTGCCTTTCACGTTTCATCATAGTCGTATTTGAAATACTTCTCATTCAGTCCACATTTATGAATAAAAGATAGGCTAAAATTGTGTTTTCATCAGAAAATCCCCAGATTGAACAGAAATCAAGTCTTCAAAACATCCCTAATTTTCAATTAATATATTTGATGTTTTATTTAGTGAATTGAAAGGAAGAATAAGAACACGCTTCATTCTAATGTAAAGAATGACACGTTTTCATTTGGTAACATCAGTGTCAATTAGAGTTAGCTTAGGTATGTTGTTCAATCAACATTATTGTCTTCAATATTAATGCGATGTGGTATCAGTGTGTTTTTGTGTTTCTACAGCAGTTTCTTCAAGGTCATGGGGAAAAACCAGAGTTTAAGTCTGTTGCCTGGTTGGATTATCAGAATAAATTAACTTTTCAATAGTATTCTAATTTTCTGAATATGACTGTGTCTCTCAAGGTGTACTGTGCCTTGAAAAATCAATAAATTCCCTTTGCATTACAATTATAATTAACAGAGTATCTTCAATTTAACGTTCTGGGATTGAAGGCAATAGGCAAACAAGAGAGGTCCATGGTAACTGGACAAAAAGTCCCTTTCTAGATGTACAAAGCTGACAGACATACCACCGAAGACATGTAAATAATCTGCTTTGCTTAATGAAAATATAGGGGGGGAAAAAACAGAGATACGCCATATTTATATATATGTATATGCACCAGAGACTCTGTAACAATAACAGGAAGAACCCTTTTGAAGACGCCGTACGTCATGCAGGTCTAAGTTCCAGCATCTTTAACATTCTGAATGCTTCTGCAGAGTCTCATCTACAGGAATAAGCAATTTTCCAAATTATTGCTCTGTTTATCAGTAATGCAATAAATGAAGTTGCGCTGTTATGATGCAATAAACAAAATGTAGCTCTGCCTCTGGAACCGGTAGGCATTAAACCAGCCATGTAGAAAATACATAAACATGTTTTTATGTATTTTTAATCTCCTGAGATTTTCCTTTAACACCGCTAATGCCGCAGTTTCTTCAAACAAGTATCAGAAAATACCTTGTGTCTTATATAAATAATCACAGATAATTTACTAATGAAATATGTGTAATTTGAAAAGTTTATAAAGTGTAAATATGTTATTTAGAAGAATCAAATCTTAAATTTAGTAGCACAAATGTGCAGCTATTAAGCAGCCGTTTTTTGTCTCACTTGCTGTAGCTCTGATCCTCCTAAATATATAGGATGTAATTTCCGTATTTTGTTAATATCTCCATTTCTACAGCATCCCGCTAAGAGGTATTCTGCAGATGTGAAAGATGTCTCAAAGGAGACATCAGGCTCCTCCTTTTAATGGGAATCAGAGGCTGTGGAAAGCAAACGGCATAAACACGCAGGTTGAAAACCGCTATCATGATACCGATTATCTTTGATTGGAGCTTTTGGTTCTTGTTAAACCCACCAATAGAAAAAAAAGCCTGTGTGTTGTACTCTCTCTGGTCACAGATTGCACACAGGACACATGCTGCTCTGAACTAAGAGATTTTGTCAGGAAGATGGAGAGAGATAATTGTTTTCTTTTTTATTTTCAGCCTGTAGTGAAGCAGAGAGTAAATTTGTCTCAGTTCATCTACTGGCTGCTGGCTGATTTTCCATTAAACTGAGGGAGACGTCAAAGCCGCACACTGTCAAGATCTAAGAAAGACCATGACAGAGGAATCTAAGTATTATTCATACTTTTTTAGTCATTCATATTGAGCCTTTAATGCTGTATTTCAACAGCCCATATTCCAGAGAAGACTGGTTATATAAGAACAAACCTCAGTAGTTTAATAAAACATACTGTCAATTAATTGTGGATCCAGCTTTTAATTCAGACGTTTTTGGCATTGTTTAAGATCCAACATTTCTAAATAGTTTGATCCTGCTTTCTATTTTCCACAAGCAGTTATGGTGTGTGTTCATGATCCCGGTTCCTTTAGAACAGCAAACTATGGCTCTGTCCCAATGTCCACCCATTTTACTATATAGGGTACTATACAGTGATTACGCCATTTTGGATGAGTGTCCAAGCATCTAGTTGATTACTCGAAGTATTTCACATTGCAAGTTTAAAAGTAGTGATCATCCGTGGTCGCTAGACCAGCAGATATATCTCAGAATGCTTTGTGAAAACTCCTCGCAAAGCATTGTCGATAGTGGCAACAAATAACAAAGATGGCTCAGGCACCATGCGGGTAGAAGGAGTCATCCTTCTACCCGAAGTGGTGGTGATCACCTGTCCGAACGGTAAGTTAACTGAGTTCCCTATAAAGTTCCCTATGTAGTCCCCACTTTATATAGTGATAGAGGGGTTTAGGGGTAAGAGCGGAAGTTTGGGCAAAGCCTGTCTCTTGAGCTTCAAAAACCTACTCTAACATGTCATCCTTAAAAAATAACCAGGAAGAGGCCAGGATCTACCAAGGCTTCAGCCTGCCATTAAATGGTAATCAAGTCCAAGGACTTAAAAGTGTTTTTCACTCCATTAGGTCGTTCACACACTGAATCAACTGTAAACCATTTCAGCATCACTGTCCAATTAGAAAACATTAATTAAATAAGTGCAAACAAAGATTAGGCTATATGAACTGCACAAAGTGTAAAGCATAGAACAGCATTATGCTGTTTTGTTGTTAGGGATATCCAGGCACTGAACAGATTGAATGCTTTAGAAAAATCCTTTGACCTTGCCTCACATCAAAAGTCATATAAGTTTAAACTTGGACAAGATGTGGTCATCACACAAAACAATAATGGAAAACACACATTAAACCTAAGTCAGGATCACATTAAACTTGCTGACTGAAGAAATGATCATGAAAATGATCGGTTTTAAATGAAATCCAATTCTTACAAGGAGGATAGTCAAAATATATATATATATATATATATACACACCGGTATATATATATTCACCCAAATAATAGTTTGTATTAGAGCCTGTGAGTATACTTACACTGTGTAATGTTAAGAAAATGTGAATATATTAAAATACATTCACATAATTCTTACCTTACAATATCCAAATAAGTGCTGTTTTTAATACCTTAATCATAACAGAACGTATTCAAACCCAGAACAACAAAATATTCAATTAGAGCGATTATGGCTGTGAATGTAATTTTCCATCAGATGCCCAGCAGTGCTGCTGGAGTCTATTTAACAGGGTTCTCTTACCTGATGTGATATTTCCTTTGTCCAAGATGTGAGGCCCAATACCCGCTCTTCCAAAAACGATACCCTTCCATTTCTTTGCGGCTGTCACAAAATGGTGTGTAGCCATAGGGAGCTCCTTCTAAGTCCAAGTCCCTCAACTCTTTTAAATCAGCCCGAACGATCTGTGTGTTCCAGAGAGAGAGAGAGAGCAAAGACCGTGGTAAGTAGAGAAAAGACTGATGGCAGTTCAGAGTTTCAAAATCTCATCAAATCTTCACACCATCAGAGAAACTCACACAGAACGAGTCGGACTTTAAATCACACACTGCCTTGAAACATTATCCTAAGCTGGTTCGGTTTTACCCATACCTGATCAGCGTCCACAAAAATGATCTTGTCCACGGCTAAAGGGAACAGAACATCAAGGAATAGGATCTTGTATCCCCAAATAATCCGCTGTTTTTCTGTCTGCTGGTGGAGCCAGCGGGGCCACTTGTACTGCACCAACTCATACTGGAAGCCATACGACTTGGCCATGTGAGAGATGGTCTCCTAACGAGCAAAAGAAAATAATAGGTTAACAGATTTGTGCACATGGCGCATTTTCAACGTGTAAACAACAAGGCTTGCTGAACATGTTTCTGCTCAGAATCTTTTAAAGGTTCAAAACGATTTTGTTTGAGCTAAAAACATTTACTAGTTGATTTTATCATTTAGATATTCTACAAACTGTGGAGAAGAAAAATGCTGAAATTGCTATTAGAGTGGTAAAGTGCTTTTTATTTCTTTACCATGGAGTTGTTTAATATATATATATATATATATATATATATATATATATATATATATATATATATATATATATATATATATATATATATTTACCATTTATTTCTGTCATTTCTGCTTAAAATAACAAAAGATATTTGATTTTATTTTTATTCTCAAATAAAATTCTTAAAAACAAAAGAACCTTACAAACAGGTTATTCTACACTGAAAGAGCTCGTGCCACATACTAAGACTTTACTCATTTCTACACCGATAGCTTACTCTGGTTAAATGCAAAGGCTTTCTGATTAGATCATGGCGCCCAGCTTGCTTGTCATACATTATTTCAGTGTTTTCCAATTAGTCTTTACTTGACTTACTAGAAAAATTAACAGCAATAACATTGGGAGTTCATTAAAGCTCTAGCTAAAGTGTCAAAAGCTAGCAGGTTGATGGATACATGAGTAAGTACTGCCAGCTGATGGTGATGGAGTACAACAATGTTTAAATTTACTGACCATGTCCAGTGCAAGGTTATTTTCCGGCTCAAAAAAAGTCAAGATCTTTGAGTATATTGCTTTATTTTAACATGAAAATATGAATTTTGGTGTTTCTTAAATACAGAACATTTTGTAGCTTTGATATCATTAGAGATTTTCTTTATATTTTGACTGGCTCCGTTTGTCGTTTTTCTTTTTTTATTATTTTAAAAATTCACGGAAGGAAAAATGTTCTGTAAGGTTTTTTTAAAAAGGGTTTAGAATGGATCGAATACCTTTGCCTCCATCCATATTATACTGCTATAAGAGTCTAAGCAACTCATTTCTGGAAGTACTTAGTTGTTAAAAAACAGGAAAAATGTAACTAGTTCTTGGTATTTGAGCAGTGGATTATTGATCAGAGCAGATCAATGGAAAACTGGCCAATTATTAACTAACTGATTGATTGGGTCATCCCTAATTCATTTATGGGAAATCGAGCTGTTTTTAGGTAAATCATAACTAAAAGACATTTAGGACCTTAATGTAAAATCATTTTATTCTTTTAAACATAATTTAAATTGTTTTAATATGTTTCCATCTGGATTGAAAGAGAATGGAAGGAAACCCCAGCTTTCTCTATGAGCGTCTTTTCCCAACAATTTTTTATTTTTTTCCATTAATAAAAAAAAAAAAAAAGAAAAGATTCTGGACATTTGAGTCTAAAACTTTTACCTTGTTGGGTTTTATTAATTGTTGAATGCCTCAACAAAACACAGCTAACTATGAAAATGATGCATCTCAGTTCTCAAGCATTTACGTGATTTAGTAAATAAGAAATAAAACAATATTTAAATAAAAACTGGTTATTTAGAAAACAATTTTCTATTTCTCATTTTTTTCATAACATTAAGAGGGAAAAATCCAATACCTTAAAAGAAGGTGAAAGGTAGTTTTTAAGGAACCAGAACTTGACAGGTGTGTTTGTATGGCGCAGGACAGACAGCATCATTATTCTGAAAGATATAGGATGAGACAAGATTACATTTCAGGATCCAACTAAATATAATTCACTGTGTTTGGAAGGGAAGAAACTGACCTCAGAAATCGTTCATACAGATGACCAGAGGCCACAGAAAATATGTTAAGAATATCTTCCTTTTTCTTCTCTTTTTCATCCTTCTTTGAGCCAACACCTGTGATGCTGTAAATGAAACCAGAATACATGAGGCGGATGTGTTCTGTTTCATGATAACGTCTCGTATAGAGGCAACAAATCAAAACTTCCACTGCAGCAACCACGCTTTCATAAAGCCGGGCAAATTATAGTCATAAAAGACAGAATAAACAATTTTCAAACAAATCATGCAGCACTGAGCGGCTGATGTGTTTTCTTAAAATAAAATAAAAATAATGATGGTGGAAATGGTGTGGAGGTCAGCAAATCTGACATGATTGGAGACATTTCAGTTCCTGCTGATACTCATCTAGAAAGCTGAAATTATATGTTAGAGGAGTTTCTGAAAACTGATGTATTCTTTTGTTTATTTTCTTCTAAGATAATGCAAAGATGGGAACATTTTCAAAAACTGGATGGTATGGGGGTTAAACAAGTTTGTTAAACACCCTGTGCGCCATACAAGCTTTCAAATGCTCTTTTCCACACCAGGGAGAAATTGGATATAATTTTTAAAGTTTATCATCTTCCATTCTGGTTAATTGGATCAGGTGTTAATAAATCCACACCAAGCCATCAACACCTCTCAAAACTTTCACAAGCAGTTCTCCCATCACAAAGACAGAAATAAATGTTTGTGGTTAGAAGAAAAAAAAAAAAGAACACAAGAAATAAGCAGTCATCTACAAAACAAGGGCAGGACAAAGAGGTGTTGTATACTTAGACCAAGATTTTAATAACCAAATAAGTATTAAATTTGTTGGTATCCATCTTAAAATATATTTAAATAGTTATATTTAACCGTCTGTCTATACTGACCACTCAACACACTTTACACTAAATCTGCATTCACCCAATCAATATGTCAAACATGCATGCTTATACATTGATAAAATAATTGGCAACTTGGGGTTAAGCGCCTTACCTGGAGGCACATCAATACATGACATGACAAGAGGAAGCTGGAAGCTTCTTGAATCCTTAAGATGCAGCAGGATACACCAAGGTTCATGAACTGTCAACAGTGTCATGAAAACCTTTTTCTTTGTATATTTCAGAACTACATCTTGGAAGAAAGTGCTTTGATTTGAAGAGATATTTTCTCTTTTATTTATTTGGCAGTGATAGTTTTATAATTGAGACTAATGTAAAAACTAAGCTTTATAATAAGATCTAATGAGTTGTTGCCGATTTTTTTTTTTTTTTTTTTAAAGTCTGTACTGTTAGAAGAAATGATCTCAATTCTTTGCCTGCAGGAAAATTTTAGGAAATCATTTTGGCTAAATTAGACTGATAACCTGATGTTGCTGAGGATTTAGGAAAAAAGATAACGGTGTGGTTAGAAAAAAAAGCGTTAAAAAGGCACAGAAAGTGTACACTAGCCCAGCACTGTGAACAAGCAGTCAGTTAATTGCCTAGCTGATGTATCAGCAAATTTTATAATTGATGGTTTAAGTCACATATCAGGCAAAAATTTGCTGCTTGCAAAATTTTAAACGTGACGATAGACTGGAATAGAACATTTTTATGGAGTAATATCAATGTGCTCTCAATAATTAAATGCATAAAAATAAAAGGGGAAAGGCTGCTTAGAAGCACTATTTTATACAAGTGTGCAAAGAACAACCAAGACTTTTTTTTTGATAGAAAATGGGTAGAAAAAAAAAAACAACCAAAAAAACTTGCAGCTGTTGGGAGCTAAATGAGTATGCAGATTACTATTAAGTCGTAAAAATAGACTAAAAAGCGCTATGTGAGATAACAACAGACTGAACTAAAATCTAAAGGACACTCTCTAACTCATGAACACATTACTGTGTCCTTAAAGAGCAACCACTCATGATTCAAGGCACATTTAGCGGACAGAAATCAGGACTTGTGCTGGAGGCTAGATGTGTCTGCAGTCAGGCCGAGTGTCCTTGTCTGTAACAGACTGCTGATGAGGGAAGGGGTGTCTCTCCCACACTCAATCACAACCACGGCTTCAGCCCAGAGGCTCCAAGAAGACACCAGGGAGAGTGAATGGAGGGGAAGCAGTGTCCTCTAAAACCTGCTTCCTAACATTTACATTAGGAAACTTCATTCTACATAAAACAGCATAACGGTGAACGACAATGAAGGCATTTTTTAAACGTGAATATTTCTCAACAGAAACATACTTTCTCTTCTCTATAGAGGAAACTTTCTCTTCAGCTGAGCTGGTGGCTAAGCCACCAGGCACCAGTGGGGTCTTGCGATGTAAATGGCGTAAGATGAGAAAGCCAACCATTATGAAGGGGCTTCAGCCAAACAATGGGGTTCCAAAGATAAGAAGATTTAGAGGGTCAGGTGAGAGCCCGTTTGGCTGAATACTGGAGATAATCTGGACCACTGAGCTCTGAATAAATCCACGGTAGAAAACTGCAGCTGGAATCAACATAATCAATCCATAATATGTATTCATCCTTTTTATATTTACTGTGAAACTACAATTACTCACAGCAAAGTTTTGACAAGATTCTCTGCAATAAACCTTTATTTTATGACTGAATCCCCTAAAACTTCATTAAATAGAAAATGCTATAAACACAATGAAAGGCTGTGTTTTATAGAAAAGGTTTTGCTCATACTCGGCATGGATAAACATAATGCTTAGATAATACATTTAGAGTCATGCAAAAATAATTTATACCCATTGAAATATTTTATATTTAGGCAAGATGTAACAACAAATGGTCAATGTGTTTTATGCACTTTCATAAGATGGAATATAATAAAATAGAAATGCATTTTTTCATCCTAAAGTGTACAAAATTCAGGAGTGTTGGTGGCAAAGCAAACAGGCAAGGAAAATGTAAAGGAACAAAAAGATGCACAACAGAACAGATTGCACTTGCTATTGCAATATCTGTGAGTGCAGTATTGTAATTGCATTGGACTGCTTAAATATAATATTTGCTTGGACACTGTAATTCCAGTATAGCCAAACATATTTTTCTATGGGAGCACTAATGATCGGTTCGGTGCCCTTGATGCTCACACCTGATGCATGCGCCTAGTAGACTAGATGTTATCTCATAGAAAGTGGTGGGGACATTGTGCCATGGTAAAGAAAGAAAAGATTCAGGACATGTGAAGGTTTATAATAAAAATAATTCAGCACAGCAGCTCTCAATGGTAGTGTCCAAATTACATATTTTCCTGATAGCATGCAGGCCTAATAGACCAAAAATAATAATAGTGATGTTAAATGAAAACAATACATGGTTTTCAAGCTTTTTTTTTTTAGGAATGAAAGTATGAAAAGTGTCTTGTTCATTTGTATTCAGTCCGAGTTCATTTTACAACCCCTCAAAAAATCCCATGTATCACATTGTCTTAGAGTCCATCTTTGTGTGAATTAGTCTCAGTATTAATACATCTTTTCTGTGAAGGTTTGTTACAGCCCTTCAGAGACTAAGACTGAAACCGATGGACACCACAGACAGGTCAGAGATTAGGATATAGAGAAGTTTAAAGGACTAATTTGATATAATAGCCCAAGCTTTGGACCTTTTTGATAACCATTGTTTAATCCATAATTTGAAAATGGAAAGTATACAATTCCAAGAAAAATTTAGCAGTTAACATAGACTGATGAGCCAGGTATTTTGCTTGTTCCGTTCTTATAATCCACAGTTTGGTCAAAAGTTTGTTGCTCAGTGGGAATATAATAAGCGTTATAAACACATCAGCTCATAATCGTATTCTAATCAACTGTAACAATTATTGATTAAAAAATAAAAGGGAGAAAAATATGATTCTTTACATATTTTGTAGCACTACCTGTGGGTTAATAGAGGGGGATCCTGGCCAGAAGTTGATGATTTTTGGGTGGCTACATCGTGAAAACAATGGGAACTTTTCTTTAAGGTGAAGAGACCAAGATTAAACTTTTTGGCCTCCATGCCAAACCCTATGTAACATGGGAAACAATGATCCCTATAGTGGAACTTGGAGGTGGCACCCTTATGCTGTGGATGAATAAGATTTAGAAAACACTCTTTAGTAAATTTTCAGCTGAAGGTGTTAAGGGTATATTGCAACACAGCTGAAGTAAATACTTAAGCAAATACAGCTTTATTGTTTATTTTAATAATAAAAATAAAAAGTGGTGTTCCTTTTGCATTCCTTTTAAAAATATCAACTCTGTGTAGGTCTATCGAATAAAATTCTTATTGAAGTTGTGGCTATAATAGGGAGAAGTTAAAAATGTATAAAAACCTTTCTCCTGTGGGTCATACTTTTAAAGTAGCTGGACTTGCTTTGAGGAAGCAGCAACTATCTCATCTAAGACGCTGGACCAAAGTTTCAGTTGTTTCTTTTACAAATTTTTAATTCACAAATATTTATTTACGAGAACCTTTCCTCTCAAACCATTTAGGTTTCCTCAGGTAACAGAGTAGCTGATGCTCTCTATGCTTTGTGAAGTTGTCCTAAATTTGGGGTTTTACAGCAGAAAACATAAAAACCAGAAACCAGTACAGTTTCTCTGAATACAAAAGGCATTAAAGTAATGCTTCCTTTCAGTTTGAAAAAAAACCTGAACAAATTCCGAAAGAAAACAAATGAAGAAACTTACATTAATAATCCTGATATATGCAATAGCTTCTTTTAAGAAGAACTTATTAAGATATCATTTTATATCAATGATATTTTTAATATTATGTGATATCAACCAGTGTATAGGAAATTAGTCTGACATTCTTGTTAAAGTGAAGTTAACCGTGGAGCTAGTTGAACAAAATGATTCCCCAAATTCAGTTAATTAAATATCAATTTGTATCCTCCTAGTTTTAAGATCTTGATCATAAAACCAGTTTGATACATTAAACAATTTACATTATGCAGTATTTGACCAAAAGACGGTTCCAACTAGAGTTTCACAATGTAAAAAAAAAAAAAAAAATGGGAACAAAAGTCAATCTTGACTAGGGAATTTTTCGGTATGCTGTTTGCAGCTTAAGAAGCACCAGAAATCCCTTCAGGTGCTGTCAGCAGACGTATGATGAGCTGCAACATAGCCATACCCTTCCCTGATGTATTCCTGCCCTGAATCAGTTAACTCTCAGGTTTACTAGCCCTGTCCAGTGACTAGCCAGTTGGAAACTCTAAAATCCAAGTTGAATCTGGTCAGTGAATGCACCAGAGCCAACAGGTGTTACAAAACAGGCATTAAATTTTACTGTTTTACAAGGAGACATGACTACTATTTTACTCTGATATGCTTTAAAATGACCAGTATTACCCCTATTGACATAAATGCGGATATAATAAGCAACACTGGTTTCATCCTTTTCAACATCTGTCGTCATAAAGCAATAGAAAACGCTTGATTTGGAAATGCTGACAACAGGGCAGAACTCCCAAGAGTTACTTGCCTTTGTTTTACAGGGAAATCAAAACCCTGCTTTTTCCCCCTTTTCCTCTCACATGATGCAACATCACCTAAATAAAAATAGACCATTTATGACAGGTACAGCAGAAAATAGTATTCCAATGTTCTAGCTTGTAGCTCTAAAAGACAATGTAAAAATTGGTATCAACAGTTTAATTCTTGCATAAACTTGATTAAAAGAAAACTTAAAAGCTTAAACTTAAATTAATCTTTAATTTCATTAAATTCTGAATCTCCAATTATTTTAGTCTAATTAGCAAAAACAAACTAACCAAATATGCTCCTTCTTCAAATTAGGCCTTCTTGCTACTGAAATCAACACATACCCACAAATATCCATAGCTTTGCTGAAAACATCTGCAGTTTCAAGCAGAGACTACAGTATTGATAAACTGTCGGGTAAAATATAGATCTGACTTCTGACCTAACATAACTCCAGACAATGATTAGTGGAGCTGCACATAAAAAATAAATGCAACACATAAACATGACGTGTTAATGAGTTTAACAAAGGTTTATGTGTTAAAGGGGCTTCAGCAAGACTGCCTACCTTTTTTCAAAAGTGCTCCAAACACTTCACACAGCAAGCATTTAATGAGGAAACAGGATCACACAGTTAGGAGTTGCTGGGGACACACGCAAATGCACACACATACCTACAGAAGCACATATTTTTTGCAAGACTAGATCTTACAGCATAATATTGCAGTCTTGATCCAGGGGAGGGGAAATATCTCCTATAACCATGTTGTATAATTGACAAACAAAGCTCTATGAGCAAACTATCCATCAAACTACAGTAACTGGAGTTCATCATTTTTAAGATGAGTTCAAACATACCTTACTATGGAGTCCCATATTCCTTTGCTTTCACTGGTTTCACTCAAAAGGTCTTCATTAATCTTTTCTGCTTTTTTTTGGACCTATAAGTAAATGTTTAACGATTAGGTTTTCATAGATCATCAAGAATTGACTAGAAAAGCTCCAACACACACATTTTGTAAACAACAGCAAGGTAGAGAAACTAAATTATGTATCTTAGAAATGTTCTCACCCTAACTTTGATGATCTTACTGTGGAAGCTGTTTAACACAACTATAACATCCTCAGCGTCAGGTGGGGAATCAGTTCCGTCATGTCTGGAAAGAGAGAAAAAAAATCAATCACACATATTTGTATATATTTGTTATCTAAGCTAAAATAGATCAACTGAAAAAAGTACATCTGCGGCCTATGAGAGAAATACGGGAAAACCAGTACCAGTCACTTGGTTATTTAGTGAAAATGACAAATTACCCACTTTATAAAATATAAAGAAAGAATCCAAAGTTGCCACAGCTTATTAATCAGGACTTTGATTAATAGCATGCTATACAATTTCAATGTTGCTATGAATAACCAAAAGAAGCAACATTTCTGCAATGGACCGCAAATATAATCATACTTGAGCAGATTCTGAATCACTGCAAACACAAATATCAGTTTATTTTATTGCCTTTTGAGAAAAGATCAACTCAAAGTACTGAACAATGGTAAAGGCAAATCGGATGTTTTTTTTCCCCATCTTTCTTTAAAAAATAAATGAAACTCACTTGAACTTAAATAAAGGTTGGCTTTGAACATTTATTTTCTTTTTCCACATCTAGATTTACATTTTGTTAGGACTTTATGTCATGCTAATATGCTGTTATGCTTTGAGCTAAATTAGGAACTCATAATTCAGCCAAAAGTCCACAAATGTATGAAATACTCATAGGAGCACTTTAAACACACACATGTAAACTACTCTCCATGTACAATAACCTCTCCGATGTATCAAACACACATACTAAGCTCCTGTTCTGCACTAGTGGCTGCTGTTTATGCACCTGAAGATTCCTGTGTGAACCCGCATCTGTGAGCTCATGTCAACGTTTGTCACTTTAAGAATAAAAACCAACTTGATAATGTAACCTACCTATTATTGGCTACTTTTCAGGAAATCCTGCCTCTTAAGGTAGTGCTGTTTTCTGACTAGTAGCTATTAGCTACCCCTGTCAGGACATATTGACGACCTTGTTTAAGTTATTAAATGGTGACTTCCTTTGACCATTTTTATTCTCTTTAAGAGAATAGAGATTAGCCTAAAGATGCCTTGGTAACCTTACTAGCTACCACTAAGAAAACAACAGCACTGTCTCAAGGAGCGGGACTTCTTCAAAAGTAGCCAATCAGTATCAAAGTATCAAACAGATCGAAAGGAGAAGGAGCATGCACTCATGCTTGTGATGGGGGGGCTCGTGGAATTGAATCTGCAAGCATAAAACATTAAAAAATGCTCGTTAGGAGTGGTTTATGTGAGAATGTTCTAAATAAAACTGCTCGTATGAGTATTCATTACACGTGTGCACTTTTGGCATCAGCCTAGGCTGCAGGTTTAAGGTTGCTACACGGGACGGTGCTGACACCGCCATGTTTTTCACCATGGGGACATGGAGTTCAAGAGGATGCAGTGTTGGATTTCCACCACACATCTCATCTCACCAAACCTCCTCTTTCCATATGTTGTCCAGTGTTTCCGACACATCTTGCTGCTAACTTAAACTGGGCTTCTCAAGTTATTTTTGTCCATCATTTTCAAAAGGTCAGTTTTATGGAGTCCAAAACACATATCTACCTTATTACAATGTTTTCCTACCTAGCAGTTGATATCTACAGGTTAAGGGTTAACCCTTGTGGTTAGCATGGCCCTCATGTCTTCTTCTCTCTCTATTAATGCAATCTTTTCGTCACGTCTCTGATTAAGTGGAGGACATAGCTCTTTTACGTTTGCAATTCTGATACTCTCTTTCAACATTTGGATGATTGGTTGAACACAGCCTGCTTCTAACTTCCCCAATTTCTCCCTGACTTATCGGTTATGTTGCTTGGTATTTATGATGTTGGTTATTCACAAATGTTTTCTAGCAAACCTCAGAGGCCCTTACAGAACAGGTAGATTAACAGAGAGACAAAACCCAAGACAGGTGGATACCCTATTTACTAATTAGCTGAATTCTGAAGGCAATTGATCACACTTCGTTCTATTTAATGGTATGAAAATAGGGCTAACTGATGGGGGGGTTCCTAAAAAAAATACCAGAATGCTTTTCAGAGTTTCATCTTTAAAGAAATATTTCAAATGTATATTTTATTATTTTTTGCCTTTACAAGTTTTTAAAGAAGGACTAAGAAACAGTTTTATCTTACTATGTCTTCTTCTAAGTCCCTGTGGTGGGATCCAAGTGTTTGTGAGACGACTGAGTAGTCTGTCACCCCTCTCTCGGTAAGACTAGCTTCATGGCAGCTCAATATAAGGCCATCAGCATCAATAGCCACAAGCCTCGCACTGCACTATTCATTGGGTAAATACAGAAGGTTTATGACATGGCAGAGCCAGCAAAAGAAATAGAAATGGGAAACCTTTGTCAGAAGACGAAGGAAAAAGAAAACCACTATGAAAGAAGAGGCTATATCAACTTGCTAAAGCGGAAAAAATACATTTACTCAACAGTCAGACTTACACTTCACTAGCCTTCTTCCCATTCAACTGAAATGCAAATTTTAAGCGAAGCTTTAAAAGTTTTGAAAAAAAAAAAAAAAACTAATGTGAAAAAATGTAAATTTTTGGTGTTTCCATTTGGTTTGAAATGAATTAACCAAGCCCTCATATGTTGTTGCCCAGAGACATCTTCAGGCATGGCTGTAATAAACAGGAAGTAGAGGCTGCAATCTAGCACTGACCACAGATCAGTAATGGAGGAAAGTTTTGATGAATGTATTACAATCAGGAAAGGTTGTTCTCACATTAAAATCTCAGCTAGTAATGTCGATGTTGCTTCAGGCCATGTCTACACACAGAATAGAAACATCCAGGAAGACCCTACAGCATAAACAGCTGCATCAGAGCTGATTCAAAAAAAGTGTTTCCTTCTCCAATTTTCACATGAATCCTCTTTTGCTAAAGTCCACCTCATTCAGCGTAATAAATTTACTTTAGTCTTTTCAAATTTAGCTGTTTCCATCAGGATTTTCTGATGCGATACTTCAAAATTCCAAAAAAAAAAAGTAAAAAATAATCCACTGGACTTTGTTTCCTAGTTTGAAGACGTTTCACTTCCCATCCAGGAAGCTTTTTTTAATTTGTCAGAATTTAATGTCTTGTACAGAGACTAGTGCATACTAAAGACAAAAGCCCCACACCAAACATGAGCAGAGTTGTGTATGCAGCTCAATGCAGTGAGGAATGCTCCGATCTTTATATTGGAGAAAACAAAACAACCTCTCCATAGACGCATGGCCCAACACAGAAGAGCGACCTCCTCTGGAGAAGAATCTGCTGTAAATCTACACCTTATGGACAAAGGACATTCTTTTGAGGACCAGAATGTTCACATTTTGGACAAAGAAGATAGGTGGTTTAAAAGGGGCGAGAAGGAGGCCATTTATGTTAACAATGAAAAAACAACCTTAAACAGAGGGGGTGGACTCAGGTTTCAGCTTTCAAAAACCTACAATGCAGCGATATAGTTGATTCCTTCCCGCTATCGTCTCAACCTCCAACCCAATACAGGGGTCCAACACATCTCTGCTTTCAGCCAGGCCAACCACTCCCCCTAATGATCCCCTTTCAGAGGCATAGACCAGTATTGTGTATTGCAGACCCCCATTCCTAAGTAGTGGACCCATTTTTCCAGTTCAATCTGCATGTTTTCTAATCAAAAACAAAGCGTCGACTTGGTCCACTCTATAAAGCCTCGAACTCAATGCTAATTCTGACATTTTGAATTGAAAAAGCTTCCGGGAAGGGAAGCGAAATGTCTTCAAATTTTGAAAAGTAGAGTGGATTGATTTTTTACTTTTTTGGGATGACTGTGAATCTTCACCAGATACTTCAAAATCCACATTAGAAAAATGTGAGTTGATCTTTCACTAATCCAATTTCAACAAAGTTTCTTGTAACATTCAGAAAAGTTCAATGAGCGTGAAAATCTCCGCCAGTCAGTGTATGTGATGATCAGAATAAGTTTGCCATTTTACTTTCAGCAACAATACAAGCATTTTCCAAACTAAGATATTTTGCCTTCAAATATTATTGCTTTACAATATCTCAAATTCTTTGCTTTAGCCGCCATTGCCACAGAGAAAGAAAGAGAAGCACAATATCTGCTCTCACTATAAAGCAAGCTACAGTTGTTAATGGACAGAGTCCTAACAGTGAAAGCGCACACTTCAAAGTGGATACTGGGATAGCTGCCAGGGTCAAAAACCAGACCATATTCATTACCCTCCATCATCATTAGGACTCACCTCACCATTATTTTGCCCATCACTACTTCCCAGTAGTGCTGTATATACTAGTAGATTTAATGAGAAAGTCTGTACAGTATTGATTGTGTAACGCAGCCTTTTACTGTAATTGTTTTAGGACTGATCTGCCTAGTAGACAATGTATTTTGGCAGACCGAATCAGCAGGGTTTAATGGTGAAACACTGCAGAACAAACCTGAGGTTTAGATGAACAGTTGACTATGATGCACCGTAAGCCATTACAACCCCAAATGCTTACTAAAGGCAAAAAATCTAACCTTATCACTATGATAAATGCCCCCTGCACTGTAGACCTATGGAAAACCCCCTCCCACTTGCTCAAGCGCTGCTTGTGTTTTCCCTTTTCTGTTGTCACCAGTGCAAATCAGCCTTCAGGGCTACCGTTAGAAAGCACCAGAGATCAATCTGTATCCCTGCAATGAGAGGGGGAGAGTTGGTCATCTCATTCATCGCTGTCAAGGCAAGGCGCAGTGGCAGCACAGGCTGGAGGAGGAAAATGCACACTGTGGGACTCAGGAACACAGACGCTCCCAATAGGCTCTGATCGGCTACCTAACCAGAGCAGAGTGCCGCTAACCACAAGAATAATGACCCTGCCAAGGTGAAAAATGACATCACCTCTTAGCTTCACCTGGAGGATTGGGGGATAAATCTTGGTCGTCTGATATGATTTCAGAGAAACCGAGGGCTGTATATGCCCTAAATCTTACATGGAGTTAGCCAAAGAGAATGATATCAGTGGATGTAAAGACAAACAGCCAGAGCCCACTCAGACATAGCACGGTTCAGAAGTTTAGATAAGCTCATCATAGAGATCAATGTCAGGAATTAATTTTTTTTTTTCTGATGCATTTGTTATAGTAACAAAATGCTCCAGTAAAAAAACAAAAAACACTTTTCTTCAAGGTGGATTAAACATGGTACAAAAATGATTAATGAAAGCTTAACAATTTTCGTGATATTTAATAACAATAATTTGCAAAGAATGTGATGTCAATAACAAATAACTATCACTTCCAGGATACTTTTCCATTCATTCAATACTTTCAGTATCTCAGCTACAGATTAAACCAGTTGTTTCCATTAAAAGTAGTTACAGCTCATTATAGGCCAAATATTTCATTTATACAGTAGTAGCTATTCACCCACTTCCTTCCTTAATTGGCCCTTGGCTGGTCCCCTACAATTCCTTTTTAAACATAAACCTTTGTACAAAAATATTCTGATTTGTGGTCATTAAGCTCCAAAGAGAAGCATCATCTCCTGGTCAGACCCTGTAATTCAGTGAAAGGGTTGAGTCAGAGTAAAAAAAAATATGTTGGGTTTATAGAGGGGATTTTGCTAGGAGTTTCAGAGGAGTGGGCTGCCATTCGGCTTGCCTTTGACTGAGAAGGACCATTTTTTATGGCTGCTACTGTATGCAAACAGTATTACATGACTCAATATTGCATCCCAATGGTCCTTGGTTATATTCTTGGTATACAAGTGTGTTGGATTTGTTCACATACTGAAGGATGATCAACGTTTCATGATATAGAGATCAGCTCCAACTGCATTGATTGAAAAATGTCTATTTCCATAGATCCAATCATTATTAAAATAACGCTCACGTTAAGCAGTATTATCCTGTTAGAGGATCCAGAGCAGTCAGGTGTCATCATTTAGATGTTGATTATAGCAAACATTTCACAGATTCATCACATTAACATTTTTATGACACTTCCAAATTTATGTAGTGTTTTAATGGTTGAAAGACAAATACCCCTTTTTACGCTGGCTGAAAGACTGGTTTAAACCCGGGAACAATCAGCTTTTAGAGGCAGTGGGAACAGCTCACTAACGCGTGTCTACCAGGGTCAAGTGTCTCAGCCAGCGACCTGCTTTAAAATCGTCTCGGCTCTGATCGGCATGCTGGGGGAACACCAGACCCGGGTCTACCCACTTAATTATGTCAAACCATTGAACACAACATACGGATGTCAACACACCGCGCCAGTCTCTTCTGATCTAACAAGCTGAAACGACTCTGTTTACATTTGATAAACATGAAGCAGCTCTGGTGAGAAGGATTCAGACCGATAAAGGAGTGAAACAATAGAGGGCACTGACTACACTCTTTTGCTCTCCATTATTTACTTCCCTGATTTCCGTCGCACTGTCGACATCATCAACGTTTACCCAGCGCGATGTTGTCATCAGACACTTAGTGGTGGGAGACAGTGGCCACGCAGCTTGCCATCAGGGGATCAGAATAGACTTCTCGGTCAAATGGGAAAAGAGCCAATAGCCGATTGTTAGCGGGTCAACCCGGTTTTGAAAAACCCGGGTTTTCAATGGGAAAGCAGCTTAAGATTGACTCCCACAAATACATCACTTATCTCATTATCAAAACTTTCTCCAGAAGCCTTTAGCTTTTTCTGTTGGGTTATATCTGATTTCCTGCATGCTTACTGGTCTTCCAGCATCCTCCATGTTAATGATTAGCTTGAGTGTTTGACGTTAGTTGGTTATCAAACATTATGAAAATTTTCATCAACATTGTGCTTGTAATTACAGGTAGAAGCTTGGATTAGACAAACATAACTTTGATACAGTTGGATTTTCCAACAGAAAAATAATCTCCAAACTCTTCAAGCCATTCAGAAAAAAAATTGTGGTTTTCTTTATTGTTAAAGGTCGAGTATCATAATTTTATAGGGGGTGTATTTATATGTTTAATAAAGTTTGTGTATATTTTACCGGTGATGATTAGAAAAAAATATGCCCTGAATTTAAGCTTCATATTTTCAAAATCCACTGTATATTGTTTTATTAATAAGGTCTGGAGGAAGATTATTAAAAAGCATTACTAGAAGCATTACTAGAAGCCCAGCATTGCTGACTTACATGCAAATGATAGGTGAATAAACATATTCAGACTGGTAGTTGGAAAAACCTTACCACTTGACTAATTTTATTTAAGCAAATTATCCTTTTTACTTAATAAACTCAAGAACAAAACCAAATGTTTCTGTATCATGGAAACTTGCTCGGCTGCATCCTCACAAAGATAGATCTACTGTCTGAGGGGGAAGACACAAAGGTGACCAGCTGCATCGTCTCTCTAGTCTGTCTTCTCTATAATAGCAGCCCTTTCCACCTACCTATCTCTCCCCGCCTCTATGCCGAAACGCACTCCCTGCACTCATCAAACCCTTGCGTTGCTACAGTGTCAGCGGCTCACCATGTTTCCATAGCGATATGTTTCAGTAGGAAAGAAAAGGCTGCTGAAAAACATCCTTGGATGCGAGCCATGAAAACATCTGCTTCACAGTAATTGTTGCCCATTTATTTGGTTTGAAATCAAAGATTGGGATACTCACGTGACAATCTGATAGATGTCTTCTGATCTTCCTTGACGTAATCTCAGAACCCAGGCTCCTGGATTAGCCTTCAGCTGGAAATATCCCTGTAATGTTTTTTCCACATTAGTCAATTAAGTTATGGGTCAAAATCACTAGAATCATATCTATGTTAACTTTCCAAAAACATGGCGAGAAAACCGAGAAAGATGCTGACCAGATTAGCCATGACAATGGTGTCATACATGAGCGGGTCCTGACTCATGCCCAAGGTAAACTGTAATCCGCGTGGTGGCTGACCGGTTGACAGGTCAAAGCAGTGGCCCTCCAGTAAGAGATGCTCCAGTTCAAATTCTGCTGCCACAACCCCATTAACCTGTAAAGAATAATAAATTGCAAAGCAACAAAACTCTCTGGGAGGAGAATAAAAGCATTTTGCATCTACCCACAAGGACAAAAATGATAAGGCAGCGATGACCAAGCATCTCCATACCTCCTGCAAGTGGATGTTGTCCAGATCATAGAGGCTGTGCTTTGCCTGCACCATCCAGCTCTCCGGTGTGATCATGTTAAGGGTAAGCAGGGGAGATTCCGGGAGATCCTCAAAGCGGGCGAATGGCCCTGGAGACGCTGTGTCGTTGGCTAAGAAAGCCACGTCAGGCTCCAAAACAAATCTGTAAAAACTATGAAGGGAAAAAATATATATCAAAGACCTCACACTGTTGCGCTACAGTTTTAATTCAATGTTTTGAACATCTCAAAGAGTATAGCACAAGTAAAAACACAACAACAGATGACCGTTTCACTTTACTGGACAAGCTTGGACAATATGTTGGCAGAAACCCCCCCAGCCCTTAACAAAACGTGCGTCAAGTGTTAAGAATTAAGCCCGTTTTTAAAGGAAACCATGCGAAGTTCCATCTTTAGAACACAGTTACAAGAAGCATGTAGAAAACTCAACAACATGTGGAAGAAGGTGCTCTGGTCAGATGAGACAAAACAAAGAACTTTTGACTGGCATGTAAAAGCAAGACAGTGTGTCTTGAGGATCAGTTTTGAAAAACACTGTTCTACAGTGTTTTATTTGTTTAAATTACACAAGACTTGCACTGGTTGATCCCATGGTCCGAAAACGGACGTCATTATGCAGACGACCAATGTCAAGCACCAGTGGTGTTATTGATTAGCCTTTTTCTGAGCAGACACCTATCTTTCTCCTACGCTTCAATTCAATTCAGTTTATCTATATAGCGCTAATTCACACCACATATCATCTCAAGGCCCTTTAAAAAGACAATTCAACCAGACTATAAAGTCAGATTGGTTCAAAGTTTTCTATCTAAGGAAAACCAGCCAACTGTATTGATTCATTGACTCGAAAGCAATCCCTCACACCAAGCATGCTTGTAGCGACAGTGGAGAGGAAAAACTCCCCTTTAACAGGAAGAAACCTCCAGCAGAAACATTCCAGTGCCTAAAACGGGGGAATTAATCCCCCAGAAAGAGGTAAGGGGAGACAGCATTCTAAGCTCAAAAAGAAGCAATGGGGAATCGGTGTGAGAGAAACATAAACGGGAGGAGGCAGCCAGCCATGCCCCCCATCCTCTCTGGAGCAAAGAAAGCAGAGCATTAGATCAAAGGAGCTGACTGGGCAGACAGCATCAGGGCAGGCAGAGGCTGGCTATGTACTCAAAGGAGCGTGGCGAATGGTTGTGTAAGTTCATTAGGGGAAACAGAATGCTGAGGGTGGGGGAGAGGCTACTGTTGGCCGAGAGTAACTGTACATTTGAGAAGCCCATCAGGAAGAATCTGCAGGGAGAGGCTTCAGCTAACTGAGGCTAGCCTCTAGAGGCTAACTGCTGGAGGTGGAAGGCGGATCCTGACAGGCCACTGGTCAATTTCTGCACTGGAGGTAGGACAAAGAAACAATCCTTCTAGAGCTAAACTAAAACGGCTTTTTTAAAAAGCCACCCGCTAGCCTCTTAAGAGCATTCCCGCCTCATCCTCTGTTAAAACCATTTTCTATTCCACTTTGATTTAAAAAAAAAATAATCTCTGCTGTTGCCACTAACGCCGTGGTCAATTCATGATAATTTCAAATCTCCTAATTTTTATATCTGATAACACAATGTAGACATAAACGAGACAACAACATTGAAGGATTTACGCATTTGAAGCCGTGACCAGCAGCATACTGGTTTTGGGGATGGGCTCACAAAATTCTGATCAGTGCCTCTCTACATTCCCTTTAAGTAGTGAATGTTGACAAAGTACTTTATAAATCAAGTTATGATGATGCTGATGACCCAAAGAAACGATTGTTACCACTGTGGAACTGAACAGCGGTGAGAAAATAGTTACTGTTCAAAAAGCTTAAACCCAGCTCACAACAGGAGACATAGTTTTTATTTTACTAGCTGTGATTTAATGGTAAAGAAGTACAACAGTCATGATAATTAAACAACTGATGCAGAAACAGAATTCAAGCACTCCTGCTGGAATATCCACAGGTGGACTGTAATACCTCTAAGCCTGTGGCTATGAAAACTAAGCAGCGGAATAGTAATTGGGCCCTGGTTATTACTCCCTTATTAAATGAGAATAAATGGGTACAAAAACAGCCACAATGGCCTGTGAAAGGATATCGTATACACAAAAAGTATGGATAGGGCTCTTATCCACCGAAAGGAGTCAGTCCTCCCACGAGCTAACAGTTTCAACAGTTAGATGTGCACAAAGCAATTTGACAGTAAGGCAGAAACTCACGGTAAGTTTCAAGGAATTTGAGAACTGTGAAATGTTGGAGAAATGCAGCGTTTACACAGCTGCTCCACTGGAGACACCCAGCTTATTTATCCCACACAAATGTATCATGTTGCAATCTGTGTCAATTACGGCCATTTCTCGCTCAGGGGGACAGGAAGTTGATGGAGGAGGGATGGTGGAGAAATGAATGATTTGGGGTTGAAGACTTGTTTCCATCAATAAAACCTTAGCAAGAGAATTCAGTTATACCCCTTGAGATTTCTGTGGACTGGCTCTACAAATGACTCCACCTATTATAGAAAAATATATATATATATCACATAATAGCCACATTCACCCATGGGTCTAAGCATTGATGCAGAGATAAAAAAAAGTCTATGTATAATTTTCTATTTTCATATTATTTTAACTGTCTCCCCTGCATGGTTAGAACTGCATCAGTGAATGTTAGAAATTTGCTCAGAGATGCACATGGGGGCTCAAAGCAATAAGGTGGTGTTATTAAGCAGATTGCATCTGTGTAGCAGACTCTTACAAAGGGATCAAGTGCGGCTGAGATGCTAAGACTGCAGCAACAAGAGGATACACAAACAAGTCAAACAGGAAAATTTAATTACAGCTGGAGCTGGTGCTTACCTCTTGAGGGGCAACTCGGACAACTTGGCCCGGCAATTCATAAACACCTGCAGTTTCATGTTGACCACTTGACTAAGCACCTGCAGCATTCAAACAGAAACAGAGGCCTAGTCAGAAATTATAAGAAAAAAAACAAATTAAGTGTGCTGCAGAGAGACAAAAAAATAGAACCAAATCAATGGAATTGGTCTCTAAATACGGTTAATCTAAGCTTAAAAAAACACACACGCACACAAGGGCTACCTTAAAAAGTGTGATTCCTATTAAATTAAAAGATATTTTGATGCAGTCTAAAGTATTTGTACAAGTGAACATGTTTGAATAAACATGCATGTAATAGCAGGTGTTTAAGCACTTAAATCAACCAAGATCAGTAGATAAGTTTAGCAGCAACAGTATTCACTAGCTTTAAGGTAATATATTTTTCCACAGCTTTCTTCTCAGTTTAAATTCTCTACATGTTTTTGGCCCATTGCAGGTATACTCATTTTCATTAGCCAAATATTTAAAATAGTGGTGGCTCGTTATCGGCGTTTATGTGTTACGTTAATATAAAAATATATAAAAATCTATATGTATATATTGCTATTACTATATTCCCAAAGTTGTTTTAGTCTGGGTCTAATCTGGGTCTATATTAAGAAGGCTATGATGACTTTCAACTTGATATTTTAGCATGGATGTATATCTGGGGGTGAGAACAAATCAGTCTTCCAACCTGGGTAGGCCTACTGTGAAATTACCCCATTGAACATGATGTGCTGACATGAATGCAGCTATAAAGCCACTGGGTTTGCTTTAGGAAAAATGTATTTTTAAGAAGCTTCCTAATGCAAACCTCAACAATACTACAGCTTTTTTCAACTTGTGCAATGCGGAATTACTTTACTGCAGGAGTTCTTCCAGTCTCAAGTACCACCTAAATTCAAAGCATCCCCTAAGCCCCTGTCACCTTGAAGATTTAAACAGCGTATGCCTGACATAAAAAAAATCTGGCAAAGACGCAGGCATATGTTGGAGAAGTTAAGGGTATGTTTTTTATAAGTTATGAGCACACTGAAGTACGCTGGCAAACATCGACATACGGCAAGCATGCTCAAAATATCTCTACGTATGCCAGTGTAAGCTCATATGTGGGCCATAAGTTACAGGTAAGTTATTTGATCGTTGATATACATTAAGTGTAAGTTACTCATAAATCGTGGTGTCTATAATCTATGTCCATCTCTAATTTAAAATGAAGACAACAAAGAAATACAAACAATACGACAAAGTCTAAATGATCTGAAAAAGAAAAGCTTTGAAACCCAAAATATAATTTATAGGAAAAAGAAAAATGGGTCAGAAAATGATTAAATGTCCAATTAGTTTTTGTTCATGTAGTTGCTGATTAAAAACTACAACTCTACCTGTTTTAACAGCAAAGCATTAAAACTCCAAAAACAGCTCTATACTTCAGAAACTTGGTTTGATCAGCTTATGGTGATCAGTGGCCACACGGAGCAGTGCTGCAATCTACATCCTGCATACTCTGGGCCCACCTGTTGCTTCTAATGTGGGAACAAGTCTTGGCACTGAATGAAAAGGAACAAAACTGAAGCACTTCTTACAATCAGGAGTGAAGAAATCTTCTGCGCCTCTCTAGTGAGGGGATCAACGATGGCCACGACATCATAGAACACCTCATGTTCACGTGGTGAAAGATGGAGCACACTGAGAAGGACATTTTAAGTTTCCTTTTTGCTACTGTGGGAAGATGTCAAAAAAGTAACAATGATCAAAAAACATACCTTTGGGTGTCTTTAAAGCTGATATCTCTTCTAACCTCTCCTTTAGGGACTGCAGAGAGCAGGGCATCCACTTTCATGACCAAGTCACTAGCTCTAAAGAGGAAGAGGTCCATTATTCATAAAGCATATAATTTGAGAGAAATAGATCAGAGAATTTCAAAAAGAATGTACAAATAAAGATACAAGGGGTAGGTGTGAAGAAGTGCAAATGGTGAGCAAATTTCTATCAACAACACATGTGAGAAAGAAACAGTTAAATTTTCTTTCAGATGGCTAGGCTGGAATGAACACAAACGTACTGCTTTGGTTTCATCCCCATCTGTTTTACTTTGGCTTTGACTTTCTCTGCTGAACCACTCAGTGTAATCCTCTCAAGCAAGTTAAAATCCTCTGCAGTGAATTCTTCATGCTCTTCAAACGGACCGAGGATCTAACACAGAGAAAATAATGCAGTCAGAACATAACTTTTCAAATTCTTATCTCAGTATACATCACCTTAAGCTTTCCCAGGGGGTTTCACATGTAATGTGGGATGACAGAGTATTATTCCCTTAAAGTTGTGTTATTCAACAATGCTGTCTTCTTTTACAGTTTTCCAATCTGGGAGCAGCCCCACCAGAGCCATGGAGAAATGTAAGGTTTTATTAATTACCGGTGCCACCTCAGAGGCTGGCCTCCTCATCCCTGGCTGTCAGTGCTGCTACCGCTGAGACATCAGTCATCAGCTTTGTACACAAACACGCAAAATACAATAAAGGCCACCTGTGACCTTTAAAAAACAGACATCCGTCGATATGACAGCACCCAGAGAAGACACCAAGTACCTTCAGGGAAGATCTTCCAAAGGCAAAGTATAATAACTGATATTGCTATGTGTCAAATGGTTTAGTAAAATATACCCAGAGCCTGTTTACTCCTTGCATTAAATGACCTTTTTCGAAATCATAAAATAGAAAAAAATGTACATGGCACACAGTAAACAGCCATAGAGACCAATTGGTTGTGCATTATTGCAAAAGCTTACCTCTTTTTGCTATTCAGTCAATTATTTTTCTAGTTAAATCGATCAAATAAACCAAGTTAATGAAGATATAAACATTTTAAATGTTAACTGTTTCGGCTCCAATATGAATACATTTCACATAAACTACAGTACCATGATATTAAAAAAGAAAATCCTGGCCTAATATTGCTGTTTTAATGCTCGAAAGCCTTTCACAATTCTGCAGAGCTGCAAGATGATATAGAGTGACATAAAAGACTCACTGTAGGTTATTGCAAACATTTGATGGCAGTTGTTGCTGCCAAGGGACAAACAGGTTTTGTTAGGCTTAAGGGGTAATAACTTTTTCCATAGGACCAGGTTGGTTGCATTGTCACATGCACAGCAAAACAGCATCCCCTTTCGAAGAAACATGTGTGAAAAAGTAACTAATAACTTAATGATGCAAAAATTCAAATTTTGGTCAAATTTTGGTCAATAAAAATTTCAATCCCTTGGATCCCTTTGCTTCATTGCAATCCTTTTTTTGTAAGCATTTATTAGGCAGGGAGGGGGTAAGGTCTTTTCATATCGGCGTGCATGCATGTGTGGCCAGCAAAACTTGTAAACAGGAGTCTTGAGAGCAACACGGGAAAATGTTACATCATATTCCATCTAAAAATATACCTTTAGTTCTTCAGATTACTATTTTTCTTCTTTCTACCTGAAATAATTATTCCTTCCTTATTCCCCCTTTAAAGCTACAGTGTGTCATTTTCAGCGACATCTAACGTCCAGACTGCAGACCGCAGCAACATGAACATCTCCCCCCCACCGCTTCTCCCCCCCAACAGTACGGCGAGCGTTCCGGGACAAAATGTCTTCCACGACGTCCGCATCACCTACTGTACCTTCTCAAGTGATGAGGTTTGTTTACATAGATAATTTTACAGATAGTATTTCATTAGTCTGTGTAGGGTATAGATTTCATGCAGACTTAAACAACTTGCCGTAGTTACTTTCGAGCGTAATGGGCGATCTCGCAATCGCTAGTTTGTTGGCTCTGCGCTGCCGTAGCGCAAAGATGTCTGCCTCCATGGCTGCGAGACCCGCTCCTATGTAATTATAAATAACGAATTCTAAGGCAACGCAAATATTAAGGTTAAGAGGCTGAGCTTGTAGATGATGATAAATAACATAGTTATGTATAATATATTACATTTCTGACTGTATATCCCTGTAATTATTACACACTGTAGCTTTAAACCTGATGGCTAACTAAGCTAAAACGTTTTTTGTGAGGGAAGAAAACAGATCCGACACCTGCAAAACTTTTTTTTTTGCTCTGATTTAAAGTGGAAATTAAACTGTCAACCAAACTAACTTAATTCACGTGATTGCATCTTAGCATCAACAATTATATAAAAAATGTGAGAGAAAAAATACCCAACAACCTGGCATTGCATATATTTTTTTTGGCAGGGGCACCCCCATGCTGTAGTATTCTAAGCAGCGACGTCACTGGGTTGGTTAGTTCTGCAGCTGTCAGTTAAATACATTGGTAATATCAGCGATACCTCACAACCACAAAACACAGAAGACATTTGGTAAGATGGAAGACGAAGCGGAAAAGACACCCAAGTGTCCAAATCCCATCAAAACCAGGTAGCATTGTAAATCCATTCTGTTCCAAACACATGTACTGTACGGGTGTCAGATCTTCCTACCATAGTGCATCCAGACAGTGTTATCTATCTGCAACTTGTGACATCCTATGAGTCTGCGCATGCGCATTGCCACAATGTAGGGCGGATCGTTGGGTAGCACGGATATTCAGATTCACATGGCAAATGGGCTCAAAAGCATAAGCTTTGGGATTTAGATGCTGGATTGTCCTTTCAGTTTCGGCTTCTATCATACCAATTTCTTTTGTGTTTTATGGTTGTGAGGTATAGCTGCTATTACAACCCAAAAACCAACATACATGATACCACCTCTGACTTGTGCATTCTCCGTACTGTCCTGCCTATGTTAAGTTAGGCTGTGGTCTAGGCAGCTGTTGTAGTGAGAACAGCAGAGAGGATCATCGGGGCTTCTCCTCCCTCCATTAAAGACATTTCATCCCAGTGCTGCGTGTCCCAAACCCGTAACATTATCAATGACCCCTTACACCCCCACCGTGGACTGTTCTCCCTGCTGCCCTCTGGGAAGAGGCTTCGCAGCATTGAATGCCTATTGGCTGAATGTTGTGCGTCTGTGGGGTATTACACAGTCACCTCCAGTAGATACTCCTGTTACTTTTCCATTTATGTTGGATTTTAGCTTATAAAACTCTCCCAGAGGTGCTGGAGTGAGTCTATTCAAAACCTTTAAATAATGATAACTGCAATGTAATTTGCCAGGTCTTTGGTCCTCTGGGCTGGTGAACACATAAATATTGTATTGCAAGAATTCAGCTTAAAGGAAAAGTTAGTACAGTAGTTCCCAAACTTTTCTCACTGGATCCCTCTCTGGGTTCATTAAAAAAGTTTTCATTCCCCTCTCAATTTCCCCATCCCATCCCCCCAACCTGTTCAACAGGTATATATAGAAAAATCTACCACAGTAGATTAAATATTGGAATAAATTAACTTGAATTTTTTCCTTTAAAGCACAAAACTACTACTTACTGTAGAAAGAATTACCTTAATTCTACCTGAATATAACATTATCATCAACATTCATTTCCGCCATACCCTCCCTGTAATTACACTTTCTATCAATATAAACATTTTATATCAAAAGACATTTATCTTAACATCATAATCAACATATCTGACATTGATTAAATGGAAAGCTATTAAGTGATTGAAACAGACTTTTACGGAACATTCGTAGGAGGGTTTGTGCAATCTGATGAGATCAGTCCATTTATCTCAAAGCAATGAAAAAAAAGAAAAATAAATTCTATTTCCTTGAAAGTTTTAATGCAGATTTTCCTTTTTTTATGGAAGACACTGATTGTCGGTTTTAATGTCCAAATAGCTATTTTAATGTTTAACAATATAATAATGTTTAAGTGAAGCAAATATTCATTAATGGCACATTATTGAGTTAATTAAAATCAGTTCAACTATTATTTTATATGAGTTATAAAGTAATACGATTTATGACGGTTTTAGAGAGACATGTTCACATTTCTAACTATTCCCACAGCATGGAATGCTCACCCTTCCATTGCTGATAACTGCCCGCTGTCCAGGACGAAGCTTCAGGACATCTTGACAGAACATCTGCTGACTGCGGATAAAATCCAATTCAAGTGTGTTGAACTTCTTCTCAAAGGCATCTAGGTCCATTCCCTGGAGAAGAATAACACAACTTTGTTTGAGATCACACATAGACTGCTTAGTCTTTGAATGTCTAAAGATTTGCAAGGCAAAGGAATATATGTGATGCCACTGAAAAAAATCAATAGAGTAGCTTTAGAACATTTCTTTTCCATTCCAACTTGTCAACAAAATACCATTCTGAGTGATGCATTGGTATAAATGTAAGATGTGAGGAAAAAAATAATTATAATTTCATCCATTATTGATGACCTGCATCTGTTCAATTACTGGATTTTCAAGCAGGCTCTGACAAAAAAAGAAAACATTTTAAACATGGCTGTCAGAAATGAAAGAAAGAAAATAGATAAATCAATTTGTAATTAATAGAACAAACTCTTAATTAAACCTCAGTCATATTTGTACATAATAAATTGAATGTGGGAGTGTAGAGGGTGGGTTGTAGAGTCAGGTTATTAGTTTCTCCAACATTTCTGTCCTCCGGAGATCAGGTGAAATACCAATAATGTCAGCGCAATTCAGTCAGCAAGTCTGTCTGGCAGCCAATAACAAACTTGTATCCCTTGGCTTTAGGTCTCAGGTCACAAAGCTGCTTCCTACCCATCTTTCCATTGCTATTTTCAGCCCATACTCTCCTTATTGTTTAAGGCTTGTGTAATTGAAAGAAAGTTTGCTACAGTGGTCCCAGCTGAAGCATGTGCTGTATGACTTGCTCCTGACGGGAAAGGGGGAAGCTCCAGTGTCAACGCATTTGTTGATTGGACTTGCCTCTGTGTACTGCTGTGTGGGTGGATCCTACACACTGCAGTATTTGGTTGTAGCCTGCTTATAACAGCAGAGTGATGGTCAGGCTTGGCTGAACATATGTAGCTCACAAAAGGTTGAGAAGGAGCTTGGCTATTCATCAGCCCCTGGACACCATGTATACACCAGCACTTTTTAGTTATGGATGCACCATGTGGAGCCTGCCTTTTGATGGCCCTGTGACACTTCAAGTGGAACTGACAACACTTGTCTAGCTATCTAAAGGCTGTGGAGTGTCAGAAGAGGCCTTCAAGGTATTCTGCCAGCTGATGTTAGGTGAAATGATTGGCTCTTCAATCATATATTTTTCAAACTTTGAACATAATTTAAGAAGAAAAAAGCTGAATCCGACAAATCTTAGCATGTGGTTTTACCCAACCATTGCATTTGTTTGTCTGTTTTTACCTTTGAATACCTGCAAGACTGATGATAAAACACACAACAAAGTAAAATCGATTGCATATTCTCAAATGCATACAATCATATCTTTGTTGATTGATGATTTGATGATTGATGACTTTGATGATTTAGCTGCTAAATATCACAAGACAGTGTGCATTATCAAAGATAATTATAATTTCAGATACTAAGCTTTAAAAAAAAAAAGAAAATAGTACTACAAAGAGAAAGGGTCACTAAGAAAAAACTTTAATGCGTGTTTTCTACCGAACATTTCTCTTATAGAGTCTTTAAAAGAAAGTAAAACCAAACTGGTAACAAAAGCTAAAAATCTAACAGGCTAAAGATTGACCTTAAACAGAAAAAAAAGCATCAGCATTAAAGTTTAGATTGAGTGCTTAATTAAAAGAAGTATCTGTTTTATGTTACAGTAGAATTAGAAAAGATAAATTAGGGCAGTTTAAGCCTTCCTAATTATACTGTACATTTCAACTGCAGTAACCAGGGTGTTTTTGGGGCCAATTATTAATCATTTCTACAAATCAATTACACTACAAGGTCAGAAAATTAGTGGAAAAAAGTGCTTGTTTTTATCCACTATAACAAAGGGGAGCTTCCTTGTGGACTGCAAAGTGGAACAGTTTGTAATACTGCTGCATGGCAGTGAGAAGGTATTGGGTTCGATTCCCAGCCTAAAGTCTTCCTGCATGAAATTTGTTGGTTCTCTCCGGGTGCTCTGGTTATCTCCCACACTCCAAAAACTTGGCTGTAAGGTTTATTGGCATCTCTAATTTTTCCTTATGTGTGGGTGTGTGTGCATGGTTCTCATTCATAGCATTCTTTTCATTGTCTCACTATGGGATACGCCCCATACCGTATTCCTCAGAAGCATTTATCTCATTAGGCCAACCCTGATTGGCTGGTAATGGTGACGTCTGCATTACTTATCCTATAAGTAGCTTGCACCACGAAGCAGCGCAATACAAAAATCTCTTCTCGCTTTGAGGCTTATCTCACACCAGACTAGCTAAACTGTCCTCAGACGGTGAAAAATTTTTATAGCTAACTCTCCGTTGTCAGGCACTAGCTGCTACTTCTGTCTTCATCATAGTCTGGAGCTATTACTGCCCATATTAGCACATTGGCTTATACTAGCTGTTTTGGGCAGTCACTCCAGTCAGCTCAGCTTTTTATTCTCCAAGTTAGGCTATCTAAATGGCTACCAGAATGGACCCTGCTTCCCCTAACACCAGAGGAGATAGCAGCTCGGAGGCTGGCCTTTGTGGGTACGGGATCAAAGCAGGCTGCAAAGGCGGATGCCCTATCGGCTCACTGGGAAGGCGAGGGGGGTGCTACAGCTTACACTGTCATGCATGGACATGCAGACAGTTTGCAAAGGTGCTGCATCCAGGCTCAATATCCCCTGGCCCTAAGTTGCAGCAGAGACCACTAGATCACGCTGCTAAGGGATGAAATTGCCCAAGACCATTCAGGTGGCCAAACAGCTGCTTTCTGTTTTCCAGGAGCTCTTTGACAAGGTAGCTGTATCCTGGAAGAACCCCCATTTAGTGGGAAAAATCGGATTCAGGGAGCCTCTTTCCTGAACTGCAAGGATATGGAAAAACTGGGCATCAATCGCATGGCCACATTGGTGACACTACAGCTGCCCGCAACATCCTCAAAAGAACCTAATACTGCCATCCAAGGCAGACCGTTTCCATTCCACCTTGATGGAGAGAGCTTAGAAAAGCAGCAGCAGTTGCTGTGAGAGTTCTGAAAGTGTCCATTATGCTCTCTGCATAGCAAGCAGAGCTGTGTGAGGACATGGCCACCAAGTCGGACCCAGACGTGTTGGAGGGAACCCCGTGATAACTGACATTAGCCACGTGTGCAACGCTGCAAAGTCCAGGTCACGGGAAAATCTATGTTGACAATGGATTTACAGAAAAGAGCAAGGTGGCTCAACCTCACAAACCTCTCAGACCGTGATAGGGATGACATTTTGGACATGCCAATTGTGCCAGAAGGCATCTTCAGGCACGGGGAGAATTTGCTAGCGCATATGGGTTGATGTATGGATGTTAATTGATTGAATCAGTTAAACACAAACATTCAATTCAATTGTCACCTTAGCCTGCTTGCAAAAGCTCCGCTTCCATCTACCCAAGAAGACAGGTAGCATCAGGTGGCATCAAGGCAGTCATTCCACAACCATTGCCCAGTCGGCCAAAAGCCCAGCCCCATCCGGGAGCAGATGAAAATATTAAAAAAGAAAATAAATAGGTAAATCACATCCACTGAAGGAGGGGATGAACACTCCTGTCAGACAGCAGATTGGGTTTGACTAAAAACGTTATCTCCCTGCGCAGTACCGTCAATCGGTTGCAACTCTGCCCTACTGCCAGGGGGCCCCATGTGCCATCTTTTGAGGATGAGGGGAGACTCCTTAGGGGCGTCACTCTCCGCCAAGGATACGTCATCGCTTAATTCTGGAATAATTATAATCGCTTCTGGCATAATTCCCACTCAGGCCAAGAGAGAATCTGCTTGCACTGCAGGAGGAAATCTCTGCATTGCTGAGGAAAGAAGCAATTAGGCCTGAGCAAAGTCATAGCGGCTTCTATGGCAAGTATTTTCCGATTCCAAAACGGGAAGGGAGAGGAATTCGCCGATATAGGATCTCAGTGCCCTTAACAGTTGTCTCAGAAGTACACATTCATCAGGATTTGCTTAATGAGATAAGTACTTCTGAGGAATACGGCAAGGGGTGTACCCCATAGTGAGACATCTCACCCATGCTACTCTGAGAGCAGCGGTTACGCAAAAACTGAAATAGCTGCACTAAAACATGCAAAGGTATTTGTTGCAGCAACTTTTAGAGAATCTGGAATTTTCTGTATTAACAGATATATTAAGGTTATCCATTTTTATCTGGGTTATGTAAAACTCTGATAAGAAGAGTGTTTAAGGTGCAGGTAAAGGTCCAAACCTGCTAAGGCATCAGCTGCTGCATTCAAGAAAATAGCTGTTATGTTATTTTGAAGCTAACCTAACACTGCACTGCTTCATAAAATCTCTTTTTCCTCTCTTGGATGTAAACACATTAGCAGGTGATATGCAGTAACCCTCCAAACAGGATTTGAAAGAGCAGACCGGTCTATTTTCAGTATTTCTTGAAATATAAGACCATTCCTTTATTCCTAATATGTTGACCTAACTGCTTTTTTGTAAGATAAAATTCTTGTGGTCAGTCAGTGTTTTGAAAAGGAAGGACAAACAGATTTTATCCCCTCAGTTCTACTGATTTAGTGTAGCAACAAATAAATAGGTTTTTATTTTATAACCAGGATCCATTACAAGAAAAAATATATGTCCTGCGTGTTTGTGTTGGGCAACTTGATTGTTTTCTAGATGTACAAAAAATATTTCCCTTTGGGGGTATTTATGAAAACATGTTCACTGTCCGTAAGGAGGCAAATCAAACATGATGGAAAACCAATATACAGCAAATGTGTCAAATCCTAATTAAAGGGAGTTGCTGACAAAGAGTTTTTGAAATGGCTCATATCAGACCCCTTGAGTAATGTCAACTCCCAACACCTGCTGTTGGTTTGTGCTTGGGATTGTATCTGCATCGTGTTAACCATCAACCTGAGGAGCGACATCGTGCACAGTAGGGCTGGGCGATATGAAGAAAATCAAATGTTACAATATATTTGGGCTATAATCATGAAACACGATATATATATTATGATCATTTTTAATTAATGAGTGCATAAAATTGCATTGATATACTCATTCAAACTTTTGGCTTCAAACTTAAAACATTTTATTTTAACCATCTCAGAGCTTTTCACTAATAATACTGCCACATTATGTCTTATGGTATCAGTATTAAACCTTTAACAAGACCCCAACAAACAAACTAAGCGAAAACAGTAGGAACATTTTTGCCTTTTGCTTGTTACAACTACCAGTTTTATTTAGGAGAGTGAATACAAGGGACCTAGCTTAAATGTTCAATAGGTAAATCTAAACCTTACCTGCATAACCAAGTCCTTGATCTTAGTCTCCTGGTGAAGGAGCTGGCTGCTCTCTTCTTTTAGGAGTTTCTGTGCAAACTCCGATGCAGCCTTATTCTTCTGGGTGAGGAGAGAGGCCCAGACAGCTCTGTACACCACAGTGTTATCTTCGCTGAGCTTTCCACTGGGGTTATTTATCACCCCTACACGCAGGCCTGGACTGGACTTCTGCACGCACAAACACACACACACACAAGTATACAGCAGTGATATAATTCACACTAATTTCACAGATTCTCATCTCTCCAGAGACAGATAGATCACTGACAAAGCACCAACAAGAGAGGGAGGTTATTTTTTTATTTAGTGATCTTTTCATGTTTTGTCAGGATTAAATGTTAATGTAACCAATATGTCTATTATAGTCTGTATCTAAACTGGCACATCATGTCTTCGAGTTTGCATGCAAAGTGTTGTGGCTGAATGATACTTACCACATGTTTTAAAGCATTAAGCAACAGCTTTCGCCCTGAAACCTTCTCAAAATCTGCGACTACCCACATGGTCACAGCAGTCATCCCATCCTCATCTGAATTAAAGGAATCAAATAAAATCATCATTCCTAAAATACTTAGCCCCACATGAAGCCTAAGCACTATGCTTTAACAACCTCTAACCAAACAGCAGACTATTTGGTTGGCTTAATGGTTTCATATAAATGGTACAAAAGTATTCTACGATAATGTAATATCTATTTCCATTTGAAGCAGCCCTGAGTTTTATTTATTTCCTTTTTTGAATTTCAAGACTCAGGTGGGGTCTAAAGTAATCAGAGTACTACATATTTTATAATCATATTTGTGGAAGCAATATGGAAAGAAAAAAGTCATCATAAAATGATGACCAGCTTTACTCATAGACACCATTTAGTTTGAGGCTGTGCTTTTTTTAAATAAATGCCTGAAATGTTTTTTTAAGCCCCGGAGAAACTCATCCATGTTTACATTAACAATGAGCTTATTTTTAGTGTGAATTACAGATTTAAAGTTAAATCTAGTTACATGTTTCATTTTCAGAGGTGCAATGCCCAGAACTGGACAGAGTTGAGCCATTTCTGACTACTGAGCCACCTGTTAGTGGTACAGTATGTGGTCAACATACTGTACCTGTACATGCCACATAATTAGAAAGGCAATCAACTTCCAGACTCTCACTGAAGCGAAAATCTAAGCCAGAACAGCAGAAGCAGCTCTGAGGACCAATTAAGACAGCTGAATGACTGCTATTTAAAAGAGCCAGTAGTGACTCTGCAGCAGGAGAAAGTTTCCTATTTCAGTAGAACAGTTTTTCCTACACCCTTAGAGCAAAGTACATTATTTTTTGAAAGATTTACCATATCAGTCTTGTAGATAGTTAACTAATCTACAGTCATCTACTTCAGCTCTTCGTTATGTAGCCTTACCTAAGAAAACCATTATGACATAAAGTGTCCTAGGCCTATATAAGGATTTCTTTCCAAGTATAATAGCAACAATCTAAGACGACCCTAAAAGCATTTGTTACATCCAAACAGAAAGGTACAGATTAGGGATGTCCTAATACAAGCTTTTAATTTCCAATATGATGCAGATCTTGCAGCGTTAAGTATGACCAACATCAACATTGAACCGATACTATATTAGCATGAATCATACGTACATTTACACTCACCGGCCACTTTATTAGGTACACCTGTCCAACTGCTCGTTAACACTTAATTTCTAAGCAGCCAATCACATGGCGGCAACTCAGTGCATTTAGGCATGTAGACATGGTCAAGACAATCTCCTGCAGTTCAAACCGAGCATCAGTATGGGGAAGAAAGGTGATTTGAGTGACTCTGAACGTGGCATGATTGTTGGTGCCAGAAGGGCTGGTCTGAGTATTTCAGAAACTGCTGATCTACTGGGATTTTCACGCACAACCATCTCTAGGGTTTACAGAGAATGGTCCGAAAAAGAAAAAACATCCAGTGAGCGGCAGTTCTGTGGGCGGAAATGCCTTGTTGATGCCAGAGGTCAGAGGAGAATGGCCAGACTGGTTCGAGCTGATAGAAGGGTAACAGTGACTCAAATAACCACCAGTTACAACCACGGTGGGCAGAAGAGCATCTTTGAAGGCACAGTACGTCGAACTATGAGGCAGATGGGCCACAGCAGCAGAAGACCACACCGGGTGCCACTCCTTTCAGCTAAGAACAGGAAACTGAGGCTACAATTTGCACAAGCTCATCGAAATTGGACAATAGAAGATTGGAAAAACGTTGCCTGGTCTGATGAGTCTCGATTTCTGCTGCGACATTCGGATGGTAGGGTCAGAATTTGGCGTCTACAACATGAAAGCATGGATCCATCCTGCCTTGTATCAACGGTTCAGGCTGGTGGTGGTGGTGTCATGGTGTGGGGAATATTTTCTTGGCACTCTTTGGGCCCCTTGGTACCAATTGAGCATCGTTGCAACGCCACAGCCTACCTGAGTATTGTTGCTGACCATGTCCATCCCTTTATGACCACAATGTACCCAACTTCTGACGGACCAAACTCCCTGAGGAATGCTTCCAGCACCTTGTTGAATCTATGCCACGAAGAATTGAGGCAGTTCTGAAGGCAAAAGGGGGTCCAACCCGTTACTAGCATGGGGTACCTAATAAAGTGGCCGGTGAGTGTATTATTCATCTGTAGTGTGGAAAAGGCTTAGTGAAGTGATGTTACTCAAAAAGAGAACAAGAGTTACTTACAACAGGCATGAGAACTACTTTATTATTAACCAAAAGGTTACATAAACTAAACAGAAACGGAGTGTCTCAATCAGCCTGGTTATATTATAGCTTTCAGTTGCACACTCATATCTTCAGATGTTAAATATTTGGCTGATATTGGATGGGGACATCCCTAGTACAGATGCTTAATCACTTCTGCATTGGAATGCTTAGCTTGTATAATGCAAACTTTGGGTACAGTTGAAGGTAACTACACTTGTCTAAAAGAGATGGTGTGAATCCAGAAAAGTGATAGCAAAGAAAAATAATCCACTTCTTACCACTATTAGTAAAATACTTCAGTCTTTTAGCCATCACAGCTGTTTTGTCCTTAGAGTCCAAGTATGAAAACATAGTTGTATCCTCCCAATCATCTACAACTGTAGAAGAAATAAAATATGACATGATTGAAATCTAGATAGCGAGTCAGTACATACAGCTATCAATGTCTACAGAAACTCACTGAAAAAAAAAAGCAGATTAGTTACAACGTTTGTTTTACATGACAGTTTACCTGGTGTCCCGGTCAGGTCCAGGTATTTTCGGTCACTGCTTAAAATGAGTGGGTTCATCCTGGGAACCACATTTGCTTGATCCATTATGTAGTCCACCACATTGGAGCCCTCTGTTAACTGACCCTGGGGAGATTTAAAGACATCAAGGGAAGTTTTCACAACAGTGGAGGTGAAGCTTAAAGGTTTATCTGTCTGAATATTGCCAATATAAGTCATTGAATGGTCTTAAAACACAGGATGTTTTTAAATAAGTCAAGATATTTCAATAGACAAACAAATGTATATTTTTCTATTTGGGTTTACTCATTACTCCAAAGGTTCTACCTCGTCATATGAAAAGGTTTTATATACTGAGTATGAAGAATGAAACATACCATAAAGGCGGCTCTCTGAAAGGTAGCAGTCGTGTCCATTATGCGCTGCAGGATTATGGTCTCCAGCTCTTCTGGGTCCATCTCATCTGGGTTCAGAGGAACCCCATTAAATAACGCCAGAGGCAAGGCACCTAGGCCACTTTTCCTGTAGAAAAGAGCTCCTTCCTGAGGGCAAAGAATATGGACTGAATTCCCAACTTTTGCAATTTATTTAATATGCATTGAAACTATGACTGTTTTATCAAATAAAATTTGTATCCTACCTTTCTTTTATAGTCATATTCTGAATCGACTCCCAAAATCCTTTCTTCATCAGCTTTTGGGTATTTTTTCTTCAGGTAAGCAGAAATTGTGTCGGTAGATAATATTTCCCCAGCTTTTACTGTCTTGTAGAGCTGCAAAAGGCGGTAAAGCAGCTCAGACTTCAATATCAGTGTGCTTGAATATCTGCCACTGTTAATATTTTCTTACACTCCCTAAAAATGCTAATGGCTGAGGTAAAATGTGGATTAGTTATCTAGCCAAAAATGCTTCAAAGGTGTAAGATAAGAGAAAGGACAATAAAATACAAAATCCTCACAGGAACAAGAAGATATGAGCTGACAGGAAACACTTGCTAAAACAAGAGATTTATATGTTTGATATACTTACTGAGACTATAGACATCACAGCCTGGGATAAATCATACTCGTCTGTGATGTAATTCAGTAGCCGGTAAAATCCAACTCCTGCGTCTGAGAAGCCATCAATCTCATCTTTGGTGTTGACAACAAACACAAATCCAATTCTATAGGCACAGGGGACAAAACAAGTATTCAATTTGCAGGTGAGATGAGAATCACTACCTAGTAAAGATTATAAAATGCTAAGAGCAGGCCACATAAACACGTAGAGGTCTGTGAGAAGTAGCACCACTAACCTCAGGGGGATTTTATGCTTGAAGAAAAGCTCGGCTAGTTTCACCAACTCAACAGTTTCTTCCTGTAGTGGATCTAAAAACAAGACCTACAAAAACATAGAAATTGATAGAAACAATGGAGTTAAGTGCTATATAATAAAAATAAATGTTCCAAGAAATAAATAAATTCAGGCAGTTTTCAACTCATCCATACCAGGTTAAAGAAATTACGTCTGATCTGTCGGATGACGCCTGGAAAGGTGGCCCTAAGGAGCTCCTGCACGCTTGCTGGCCAGCTTCGGTACATCTGGTCATTTTCAATATCATTCATCCACTGGAAAATAGATAACCAATATCATTGGGTATTCAAGCAGGCTTTGGATCAGGTCATCATTCAACCAAATAATACACCATTCCCTACCCACAAGGTGCAACTCCGTCCAATTTATGTCGATTACCTACCCACACACAACTATTTTACACCATACTTGAATATTTAGCTAGATAATAATAATCGGGAGGATACAAGTTATGGAAACTGTATAACAAACATTTAAATATTTGTTGATTTAATTCACTGTAACAATAATATATTGGACAAACTGATATGTGGTCAATGCTACAAAAAATTTTAGCTCATGGGGGAATATGTTCTCATTTGCAGTCACAAAACTAAATTTCCTTTATTTTAGCAAAAATTAGATTACAGGAATTCCAGTTAAATCATCATAAACACCCCCAATATGTAACAGTTTTTGGCAAAGAATAATATGAACAACAGTGTCGACCTCTTTAGATAGATCGATAAAAAGTGCAGCACAGTAGTGATTTGTATACAAGGTGTTCAATTATATAATTTACAACTTTTGTAGCTGCTGTGACTCTCCTGTTAATTAATGAAATGATGAAATATTAACCGTCTCCAAATATTTTCTAAGCTAAGAATGATTTTTTTTTTTATGAAACAAACTTAAAATACAAAGCTTTGAAATAGGATTATCGTTGATTAGCAGAGCAGCACAGCATTACCAATTTTAATAGGAGCAGAATAGAAGCAGCCTTCCACATGTCTGGGATGATGTTTGCAAAGAAAAATCAAAAATGCAGGAAACTAATTCAGCTTGATATATCCTGCTAAACACAAGAAATACCTACACCCATGAAAATGAGAAGGTGTTTCGGTTAAGTGGGTGATTACTGGAGGAAGAGGGAGGTTGACCATCAGAGACGGCATAAAATACTAAAACAGAGGCAACAAAATGTCTTATCTGATACCACAGAAGACTGTAGAGTTAATAAAGGGGGGGAATATGAGAAATTATGGCTGTCTCTTAACAGTTTGCCAAAATTACTTCAGATACTCAAACATTTTGTAGTCTAAGCTTAATAATAATCCTATTTTACGGTTATCTTGAAAGCTTAAGCCATACAAACATTGAGCAAGTAATAAAAAAGTATCATTAATAGCAAAAGGAGGTCAGTAACAAACAACAACAGTCAAAAATTAGTCAAACCCTAAAACTAAAACTTAAAACTGTCCAAGAACAGATTTAGAAAGTAGGATCTGAGCTTGAATTCACCATCTAACAAATGGAACAAAAACTACTTTTCCTGAATAGTCTGTACAATTCATAGCGTTTAGGTAGAGTTGAACATGAACAAAATCATACATTTCTTTGCCTTTGAACTAAACATATTAACTGTGAAGCTTAACTATCTTATGAGGGATGTGTCCGCAACGACACATCTGCATATGCTTAATTTCTTCTCACCAGCAACAAAAGTAATTATATCATTTGTTTTTAAGAGCAAACTGGTTGCTCTTTCTCAAAGCATTGGTATCATTAAGGTAGAGGACGTCCGTCTAGAAACTCTGCTGTCCAATCACAGACAAGAATTCAGTCTAATAACCAGCTGTGCATCACAGCTCACATCAGCAGAGTTGGGGAGAGTCACTGCACGGTAGCTGTTTACATGCACTTGGAGTGTTTTAGTTCTGAGTTGGTTCTGATTTAGTTGATAATGATATTAAGGAAGTCTGGATGTTTACATAAGTCTCCTCGAAGGCTGAATGACGAGGACGACCTTGAGTTGGACAGAGAATGAGCAAAAAAGGAGGGTTTCCTTCCTTCTGTTGCTGAGCAGTCCTGAGCAAGGTTTGTTTTATAAAAAGAACTAATATGAAAAGGTCTAAATCTCTAAATTGTTAATATTATGGATCTAAAAGGGCTCATTTTTCTAAAACAAGTGATTGAAAACTTTTTGTTTCTTCTGTTTGTCAATAGCCTTGAAAACTGCAGAAAGTAATGATCGACAACTCCTACAGAATAAGCACTGCTGATTTCAACTGCTTCAATTAAAGGCAGTTTGTGATTCATCATGACTCCTGTGGAAGTATTTAGTGAAATAAAAAAATAGTCAGTTTTGTATACAAACACTAAAAATTCGCACAAAGAACTTGGTTTTGCTGCTCCTGGGGAACTCCTCATAATTAATGGAACAATGAATTTTGCTCTCTAGTCCAGAATGCAACAGGAAATAAAATACTTATAGGTTTAAGAAAGACTGTGAATCAAAGCATACATCTGAATGGTAAAAAAAAAAAGGTAGGTTTTGCAGTGACTTAATAATTTAAACATAAATCTGGTTAAACCTTGCCATAACCAAAGTGGCCATTTTTGAAACCTCCTGATTGCTCAGTTAAAACAGTTTTGCAAAGAAAAGTGGACAAAAGTTAATCTACAGGAACATAAATGTCTCACTGCCAGTTACCACAAACAAAAAATACTTTTTTTAGCTGGGTAAATTTGTAGCTATTGCTTCAAATTTTACATAAGGCCATAACTCGGCCGTATATTTTCCTGCCCTTAAAGACGGAGACATATTAACTGACTATCTTGGCAAAACATTTAACATTCAAAAAATCATTCAAAAATGTAGCATTTTATTACACATCTTTCAATATAGAACCTTGGTAATGATGCAACCCTTACTTATAAAATATAAGTTTTGAGTCTTTATCCCTCTGAAATACCAAACCCCCAACTCGTAACACTGTCCAGCATTTCAGTGAAAACACCACAAGCTCACAAACCAACAAAAGATAAAATTAACGTGGAGAGGCTTTATTTTACTTTCAAATCACTAGTTGCTGTGGTATATAGGAGACAGAAGAAACAAATAAAAAAATGCAATTTATTTTTGAGAGGTTTCCTTGGTTTCGTTTCTAGTTAAAAAAAAAAAAAGCTCAGGCAGCCTTTGAGCTGAAGTATTCTCATGACAAATCCAACTCACACCCACGGAAAAAAAAGAGCACCCACAGAGTTGATCTGACAAGACATTTGATGGGCCCGAGGAGTTCTTAGATTGGACAGGACTCACCATTATAGCTGGATGTCGGATATCCAAGGCGTAGCTGTCATCCACGGCGTTCACAGGTAACCTAAGCAGCTTGCCCTGATGCTCTCCCTTAACGCCTAAGTTATGAAGCCCCTCTAAGACCTTTGCCTCTCCTCTGAGGATATCTAAAAGGCTGGAAGTAATACAAAAAAATGTTAGCTGTTCTGTTGTTTTTTACATAGTTCAAGGTTGTAGAGTTTGACTGTGTCCAACAAGTTTCTACCTAAAAGGGTTATGAACGTCCAGATCAATGTGCAATCCGTTTATAAACAGCTCCCCGTCTCCTGGCTGAATCCCCATTGTCTCACCAAGACGCTGGAAAGTAAAGATAATCTGTCAGTCAAATGACCAAACCCTTTTCATTAGGCTCCCTTCACAGTGGCGAAGAAATGCTATCGTATCCTGCAAGACCCGGAAACACAGCTGTCACAGTCCCGACCAAAAAAATTTAGACCGCTGCTTTTGTGGCACGGGAGGTTTCTTTAACTCCACCATCAGTTTCGAACCTTGAGGAAAAAAGACCATTAGAACGAGACACTGGATGGTAATAAGTATCAAGGTGATCTCACCAAGGATGCATTCAGAGGACCTGTCGCAGACTCTGCACAAAACATCCACTTAATGGTGGATTTTCTCTATTGTGGTGCAGTCTAAAACCAGTGTGAAGGGAGTTGAAGTGATTGACACCATTGTCTGATCTTATAACAAGAAACATGCAGAAGGGTAAGAATACAAATAAAAACTAGAGGAAGAAGTATAACCAATGACACTAAAGACAATAGCAGAGAAAAGTTCAACTATAGATCAGAAGCTTGCTCAATGAAGAAACCAGAACTGTATACAAGGGGCAGATGTTATCAAAGATACCACCTTCACCCATGCACAAACACTGCTTATGATTTCACACCTGTTGGTTCTCCTCAATTTCTTTTCTCATTTCCTGTTTTACGGCCACTCTTGTCAGTGATCTGTGGGAACAGTAAAACATGTACAGTCACCATCAGCTTTTAACACATCCCCAGCCAGCTGTAAAATGCCAGTTTTAATCTCCAAAAACCTGCAGGCCCTCTACTTGGTACCTTTGAAGCCCACTGCCTGTAATCACCCAACCCTTACTCAGCACTTTCTTTTGTTTTTACAAGTTGCCTGAGCCAAAACACGCATACATCAACAAAAGCTGAGTATATCTCAGTATAAGAGAAGAATGTATATTTATATGTCCCAAGCAGGAGACTGAAAGTCATGATGACCAAATAAAAAGGGGCTATATGTGAAATATTTCATGTACACTTTAACAAGCATTGATTGTGCTTAGATTTGCAAACAGAGGGCGACGAGATGATATGGATTTTGGAACGGCACCAATGCCCCAGTCCCTTAAACAGATGAAGAAAAGAAACAAAGCAAATTTTTTTTACCTTGCCTTGCTTGGAAAGTTTTGACTGAGGTCTCGCATGACCTTTAAGGCATCAAACTTCGGCACAGACATGATTTTCTCAGCGGCCTGGAAACTTAAATCTGGATAAAATGACAAAAGAAAAAGACATTATGCTAAACTCACAAATACACATTAAATTGCTTATCACAGCTGTAATAATAGAAAATATTATTTCAGCAACAGCAGGAATAAAATCGGAAGAGTTTTAATTTCCAATTTTCACACATAAACAAAGATGGATCAAATATGAAGATATATTAATCTATGTTTATATACAAGATTTATCAGGGTCTATTTGGGTCAGAAAAATTGGTGTTTGTATGTTTTGATGAAATCTGTCACTAAGCAATACTAATTCAGACTACGTTATGATACTTTAAGGTTGTTTGAATTTGTATGACTTTTAAGTGTTAATAGTCTACAATAATAACATATCAGTTTATCACCTTGCATTTCCCACACTTTGAGAGGGGCCAGGTCATTAGCACTTTCCAGGAGATGCTTCCGAAATTCACCAAGTTGCTCCTGGAGCTCTGGATGAGACTTTCTGAGAATCAGGGCAGAGGAAATTAAGCTAAACTTACTTCTCATATTTAAACAACAGCTGCAAAAATAAACATTCACCTCACATCAAAAGACACTTAAGTGACGTTAATAACATAAGATTAAATTTTGAAAAAAAAAAAAAAAAATCATCACTGTGAAATCAAAAGTTGGCTCAGTTTCACATCAGTAGAAAACGTTTTTATAAGATGATCATAAGATTGCTTAAGTAAGGCGTGCAGTGATTTGAGGAGCATTCTTACATTCAAATGCTTCTAGTTCAGTGAGGTTTATGGCTCTCCTGATGCAATCAGATTACTTTTATCCCATAAAGAATTTTAATCGGTTTTAAACCTGGTAAAAAAGAAGACCACTCAGGATGTTTTAAGCCTTTTTTTCAGCCATACCATGGCTAATTTAAGGTGTCCTTTGGACCATGGCTTTGCTGGAAATTCATGTCTAAGGAAAATAAGAGATCATTACAGAATTTCCAATTGCTTTAACAAAAACTGGAAAACATAAAACCTATAAAGAATGATAATGATTTGCATTTGAAATAAGATTTATTTTTACATCAAACTTTGCTTTCGTCAAAGAATCCTCCATTTGCAGCAATTACAGCATTGCAGACCATTGGCATTCTAGCTGTTAATTTGTTGAGGTAATCCGGAGAAATTGCATCCCACGCTTCTAGAAGCAGCTCCCACAAGTTGGATTGGTTGGATGGGCACTTCTTACGTACCATACGGTCAAGCTGCTCCCACAACAGCTCAATGGGGTTCAGATCTGGTTACTGTACTTGCCACTCCATTACCGATAGAATACCAGCTGCCTGCTTCTGCTCTAAATAGTTCTTGCACAATTTGGAGGTGTGTTTAGG